TTACACACCTCGATCATACCATCCTAGTGCTTAGGCGAAGCCCTGCACCGGTAGCATCATCATCGTCATCGCCATGCCGTCGTGCTGACGGAACTCACCCTCGTCCTCAACTGGATCAAGAGCGCGAGGGACATCATCGAGCAGAACGTGTGCTGAACGCGGAGGTGCCATACATTCGGTACTTGATCGGTTGGATCGCGAAGAAATTCGACTACATCAACCGCGTTATTGAAACGCTTCCGCTTTCGGTCTACGAGGCTACGTAGACACACTCTCCCGTCTCGTTGCTATGCATTACCTAGATAGATCTTGCATGATCATAGGAATTTTTTGAAATTTCCGTGTTCCCCAACAAATAACTCATTAAGATTGCATGTGCCGATGAAATTGGAGGATTCATCTTATCCACGAAAAGCTTCCCCTCCAGCTATGAGATACCTTACACAATCCAATGACACACTCAAGTAATCTTTATGTTTTATCTCAGCCTCTTTATTGTGTGAACATGAAATTTGGTAGACACATTTGCCCTTTGATTGTTAAAATCATCCCATGAGCCCCTAGAAATGTCGTGGCTAGCTTGACAACCATCATGTTTATCAAAATATGCAAAAGTTATTTTGAGAAGTTTGCAGCCACCTATTGTAAATACAACATTTCTAAATATAGCGGCATGTGATGTTGTCTTGAAAATAAATCGGTAGAAGCAAAAGGCAACCTCCTTTTTCACACTACATTCCAACCAATCAAACTTATCAAATCAATGCGGTTGAGAAGATCTCTGAATTTGTCTATCCAATGTGACTTCAAATTTTTGTCCAGTAGCTTTGTTTTACCCATTCAACAAAAAATTCTTCTCACTTCAAGTCAAATTACAAGGGCATAATCTTCTATTTGTATTCGATCTGCTGGATCACCTGAAGTCTGACTTGGATGAAAATTCTAGTATATAGTGCCTTATTATTGATTCGTTGTCTCATCAGTTGGTAGATTAGTACTCTCATTTGAAATGGGAGTAGTGCTCTTATTTTTTTAGAGTAGGGGGGTGTATGTTCGCCATTGGGGTTGGCCAAGGAGGTGATTGAACTGCTTTGCAACCAACTATGCAAAGTCTTTCTCTTCATTTCTACAAAAAAGAATATATAAAACTTCATGGGTCAATTACAACAAGAACTAACGTAGATACTTGAACTAATTTTTTAGAACGAAATTGTAGGAGGGCCAGGGACATGTATGGCCCTCATCTATCAGGCCTTATATAGAAGGTGGAGGGAGATCGGGTAATCAATGCCAACCATTGGCATTGAGAGCACGCAGTTGGTTTGTTCAATTAAGGTATCCAAATGGAGATTAATTCTCTAAATGGAGTTTCCTTGAATGCGTCCATAAGTTTGGAGCTAAAACCAGAATGAATTGGTGATGAGATGAAGCTCAACCAAGAGAGGAAGAGATCGCACCATGGATGTGTGTGTGCCTGTTCGTGCTCCTGGTCGTGTAGGAGGAAGATGAACGTTGCATGTCTTCATGCGTCTGGGATTAAGCGAGAAGGAACATTGGACTTCACAGGAGAGGATGAACCCAAAGGAGAAAGAAATAAGAAGGTTAAAAAGAGAAGGAAAGGAGACATGGGCATGGCTGTTCGGTGGAGCGTGTGGGGGTGGAGATAGCTAACATATTTACCCCAATCGAGTTCTGGAATCTGTAATGATTTTTTTTATTTAAAGAACTATCGCAAAATGATTATGGCCACATATAACTACCAAGCCTTCTCTGATAAATCCAAGATTTTTGAATAAATCCAAATACTCATATTGGGATGTGGGAAAATAGTTTTCACCCAAACTTAATCATGGAAATTCATTTGTTTCCATTTTTAGCTTTTACGAATTCCCTAAAAACAAGTCTCGGGGTTTTATAATTCCCATAATTATTTTTATTCAACCTCAAATATGCAAGGATCATAACTAGAGAAGTCCTTTTAACTCCACTATCTATTTTAAATAATACCAAATCCAAATGCACCAAAATTTCAATAAATTATATATCCATGATATATGAGACAGTCGTTTTATTATCACTATTGAAAATATTTCTGAAATATTTGAAATAATAATAACAGTTTTTGTGTTTATATAAAAAAACCAAACCAAGATTTATAACATTTTTTTATCCAACTCTCCTTACATGGTTTGGAGAATCACAAATCCTTCTAAAATTAAAAGCATCTCAATCAATAATATTTTTAATTAATTATTTAATTAAAATTTCAAAATTTATAACTATTTGTGATCTTATAGTAAGTTTTTCATCAATCAGAACCAAAATATCAATATGTGGAAGCACTACTCTCTACACCAATCTTCAGTCCCCCAACCGCACCTCTGTCCCCGACACCTGATTTTTCCTGAATTCTCGTGCAGCCATGTCATCATTTTTACTTGCTAGAACAACACGGTGGGGTTGCTGACTTCGTCAACTGAACTTCTTGCATGTGCCCTGTATTCGAAGCCAATAACATTAGTTGTACCAAGTCACTAACATGTTGCGAGAGCTATTTCTCACCTATTGTGTGATGGTAGGTTATATCGCCATAGGCGAGAGCGCACGGGCCGGCCCTTTTAGTGCAGTTTTCACGTTTACTTTAGTCGCTCGCTGTTGGTTCGCTTTAGGTTTGATTTTCTTCGTTTTGTATAGAACATGAACACTTTTTAAATGCATTAATTTTTTAAATACATACTTTATATATATTCAATATACATTCTCTATCTTTGTATACATCAGAATTTTTTCATATATGTCTTTAACTTTTTCCATGGACGCCTTTAACATTATTCTAATACATTATTAATATTTTTTTCATGTCTACTTTTCTCATACATATTCTACACTTTTGTATACAACAATAAAAATTCTACATACACATTTAACATTTTTTAATACATGCTTAATATTTTTAACATATCTTTTATGTCCACTTTGTTCGTACACATTCCACAATTTTCGCAAACATCAGGAACATTTTCAATCTACATGTTTAACATTTTTGTATACACGTTTAGCATTTCTATAATACATGATTAACATTCTTTTAAACATATACTCCCTCCATCAAAAATAAGTGACTCAACTTTATACTAACTTTAGTACAAAGTTGTACTAATGTTAAGACAATTATTTTGGGAAGGAGGTAGTATTTTTTATGTCCAATATTTATGTATGCATTTTACATTTTTCGTATACACTAGGAACATTTTTTATACACATTAAGAAAATATAATACATGATTAAATTTTTTGAGATACATGGTTAACTATTTTTTTCAAACGCATTGTACATTTTTTATACATCATAAATACATTTTTACATGTTTAACATTTTTAAAACACATAATTAGTATTTTTGAAAACATATTTTTTATGTCTATTTTTTCATACGCATTGTACATCTTTTGTATACATGGGAAACTTTTTAATATACTGTATTAACATTTGTCAATATAATATTAGCATTTTTTCTAAGTAAAGTGATTTCTGTAATATATATATTTAGATTTGTTTTCGAAATATAAGCAAAAGTAAAAAAGGTGAAAATGTGAAAAAAGAGAGGAAAAACTACCTTCCTGGGCTGGCTCATTTATGGCGATGCCTGATGCGAGCAAACGCTAGAGCTCGAGGCAGGCGATAACATGTGCTAAAAGGCACTGATGCGACATGTTATCGGCTAACGCAAGCGAGTGCTACAGCTCGCGTCAGGCGATAACATGAGCTAAAAGGCACTTAGGCCACATGTGTTGAGTTCAGGCCGCAATACCTTTTACGAGACCTTATATGGGTGTTAGCTTTTAACTATCTTCGTTCAAGTTTTAAAAAAAAATCGTGCCATTCCAATAAAATGTTCATGTGTTTCTGAAAATGTCCATGACATTTTTCAACTTTCTATACCCTTATATAGTGTGCGAATAACTTTGAAAGATGGTCGTTGGATGAAGCCAATCCGACAGTGCAGAGATGGCAAATCCGAGCACTACTGCTCGTTGGATATCATCTACATTTCACCAGATTCTGCCACATATACAATCTAGAAGACTCCATGGTTGAATTAAGCATAATGCACAAACCTCAAAACACAAGCACTTCTTCTTTGTTCTAGAATCTTCCGTATAATAATTGCCCAATTTTTTTTAAATGAATTGCCATTATTTGTTTTTACTTTATGCTTTACATGCACAATCTCATGAATTCTAACATTTTTATAGAACTAATTGATTTTGAATGAGATGAACTATAACAACTAAACGAACATCTACATCATAAATATATGACTCAAAGATTACATATGCTATAATGTGGTATTTATTCATAATTTGGTGTGCAATGCACGTGTATTTTACTAGTATACAATGTAAAAGAATGTCTCTGTATATTTTTAAGGAAAATCATACCATTCAAAAAATGTTCAACATTTACTACAAAAATCTTCAAGCATGTATTTGAAAAATGAAATGGTTGACTAGGCTGTGCAAGGCTGTTTCCAGGGACATGGTGTTAGAGACAGATGTGTTCCCCCGTGGGGATCCCTTCCGTCGAACTAGGTGATGCCACCTCTCTCTCTGCAGGCTTCTATTCGTAAAAAAGTGCCAGTAAGCGTAGCATTGTTCTTGAAAACAAAAGTTCATTATGTATTTTTTTTTCAAATATATTATGTACACTGAAAAAGTACAGTGTGTATTGAAAAAAGGCAACATGTATTTGAAAAAAAAAGAACAAACTACGACTTGCATACCAGTATGCTCTTACATGCATGTCTATATGTTTGGAAGACGTTTCTAATTGGTGTCCCCTGAAGTGGTTAGCTCATCCTGCGCTCGTGGACATGTACGTAACCACGATGACGTACGCATGCGACGCACACGAAACAAGCACCGCAAAAACCTCCACCTCCATCTACACTTCAGCCAGTCACGCCACACTGACCGACCGATCGATCCAGCGACGAGGGACATGGCGGCCGTGGGGTGGTTTCTAGCCGCCGGAGCCATCGTCATGGCCACCCTGCTGTCAGGCTCCGCCCTGCTGACGGCGCCCGCGGCCGGCATGCCCACGCCAACGCCGCCGTCGTCCTCGTCGCTGGACTGCGGCACGGTGACGTCGCTGCTGACGGGCTGCGCGGCTTTCGTCACGGGCGGCACGAGCGCGGCGCCCCTGCCGGCCCCGGGCACGCCGTGCTGCGAGGGGGTGGACGGCCTGTACGCCGTCGCGGCGGACTCGCCGGACAACTGGCGGTCCGTGTGCCGCTGCATGGCCGGGCTCGTCCGGCGGTACTGGTCCAACGCGTCCGCCATCGCGCTGCTGCCGGGGCTCTGCGGCGTCTCGCCGGTGTCCACCGCTCACGCGGTCACCTACTGCACAAGGTAGACGCAAAATGCTTCAGTTCGTTCGTTCCTTTTTGGTCGCCACTCACTCACAAGCAGATGACAAATTTTCTTTGATTTGAGGCTAAAAGATTAGTAATTCCCTTGCAGCATCCCTTGACAGTTGACGTGCGCTCAGCCTCGCAAGGCAACCGACGATTTCAGGGGCATGCAGCTTGCTTCAGTTTGGAGTTCTCAGTTTTGTTCTTCATCAATCATGTTAGTTTCATGGAACTGTCGAAAACTGGATCACGTAGCTCAGTCAGTTTCTGAAATTTAGAAATAATACTTCTGAAATGTACTGCTCCTTCCGTACATTTAGTGTAAAAAACGCTCTTATATTATGGAACGGAGGGAGTAGATTTCTTGGTTGACGATACTTGACCCCGCCGTCCACGTGTGGTGACTTGGGGACGACTAGGGTTTCCCTCCGCCGCCGTGTGGTCGCTGTCCATGGCCGCTGACCTGCTGTTGTTGCTATTGGGAAACATGGTAGAAAACAAAAAGTTTCGCGCCTACACACACCCAAGATCAATATAAAAATGAATAACGGGTTGGGATCATGATCGTTACCGTCGCCGAGTTGTAGCGGAAGATGGACGTGTCGATGTAGATCGTACTTGGAGTCCCTTGAACCGTCGAGGAACAATTCCTCGAACCGCCCACACTAGTAAAAACAGGGCATTTGTCCCGGTTGGTGAGGCCCTTTTGTCCCGGTTCATGAACCGGGACTAAAGGGTCGTTACTAATGCCTCCCCCCTTTAGTCCCGGTTCTAACGCGAAGCGGGACAGATGGGCCTCCACGTGGCCACTGCGAGCAGCCCAGGCAAGGAGATCTTTGGTTCCGGTTGGTGACATGAATCGGGACCAAAAGGCTTCCACGTGTCAGCAGCTGGCTGGAGCTGAGGTTTTTCTTTTCTTTTTAAATAAAAAGTGGCTGGTTTAGGGGTTTTGGGGGTTAATTTTAGGTTGTTATTAGCTAGCTAATAGAGAGAAGTGTCCTCTCTTATATCTTCGTTCTTGGTTTACCAACGCTACTGCTATGTTCATTTCACCCGCTGATATATAATAACTCATGCATGCTCGCATCATATATCATCATATATAATAACAAGTCCTACTAATCATGCATCATCATACAACTTCTACTCGTTATTAATAACAAGTCATACGATCATCATCCTCATAGTCATTGAACCCAATCCTACATAATTGTTTTTAGCACATGATCATCAGTATCAGGTAGGACCTAAACACCCTTAAGGTAAAATAGCATAAAACAATATAGACCCTGACTCTCCATTATGAAGAATGGAGATCATCCTGTCTCCAATTCTTGCGCTTCGCCTCCTTTGCTTGCAAGAAGCTCCTTACGATTGTCCATACATTTTTTCCATTCTTTAATTGTCATGTCTCCACTTCTTTTAGAAATCCGGTATGGACAGTTGAGATTTGTAGGACGACCTGGTTGTATGTTCAAAACATCAAGGCGACCGTGCGTATACATCAGATGAGGCACACAATCATTCGGGATTATCTGTTGAAAAACATAGTAATAACTTCGTAATTAGCAATGATGTACTAGTTTTAAAAGTATTTAAAAAGATGCGGGGATGTCGTAATAGTAAAAAATCTTACCAGGGTATCTCCATGGTAGTTACCGTAGTTCAACACGTGCACTAATGACACGTATTGACCATAATGTTGAGGAGTTCGATTATAGACATTATAATTCTCAAGATCAGTACAAAATGCGATCAGATGATTTTTCTCCTTATAAGTTAATTCGGAGCCATCGGTGTAGTGGGTTTTGTCTACCATTTTCCGCACATTCTTTGAAGAATGAAAATAAGCTGTCAATGGAAACAAGCTGTCAACTATTTTGAAATAAACAATATAAATTACTTAATAACTATGTTAAGCTCACATGGGGGAAGAATTGGAGGTGTATCCACAAGGACCCAAATGCCCATATTGTCTTGCTGGATTGTAGGATCACCAAGATCCATGGTGACAAGTATACCCTCATCAAAACCGTACATCTTGCAAAGTGCTTCCCAATTTTTGCAACCAAAATGGGTTACACTCTCAGCATTGTACAACTTTACTTTAAAATCCACACCATGATGGGTCCTTAAGAGAATTTTTTGGTTTCCATACTTTCATGGTCTTCAAAACCCATCCTCTCCAAGACATAGCGTCTTGCATAGCATGGGATAAGCTAGTCGAATTGGAAAAGATGAAAAATACACGTTATAATAGTTGAAGTCATGCTTAATTACAAAAAAAACTATTGTCGTCGTTGTGTACCGTATGAACATCGAAGGTCTCCTCGAGCTTAATGCTGAAGCGCCGATCTTCGTCCAGCTCAATGAACCTGTCGCACATACCTCGGTCGTCGTGGCACCAGTCGCACCCCCCCGGGCGGTTTTCGTCGTCCGAGTACGACATTTCTGGCGTAAGTTCATAATTCAAATATTAAACTTGTACAATTAAATATATGTACTAAAAACCTAAATTAGATCATTATTATTAATCACGGGTTAACTATCAATGATGGTACGTAGCTCCTCCTTTCATTCCCGAGTGCATTGTTACAACAAATTGTCTAGCACACGGGAATGAAGAAGAAGCTACCCCCACGACGACGTGGATGATGGAGGGGGCTCCTAGATTTCTGCATAGAGTGCTCTTCAATTTTAGCATTCAAAGTAGGAATACTTTTCCAATATGAGCATTCAATAAGCAAAACCAAATCGTAAAATAAAGTAGTATTCAAATTAGCATGCATTCAATTATAACCAAAAATACATCATCTCTTGTGTCCGCACATCGTCAAATACTCCTCGAACACTATCATACAGATAGCATCGCTAATTAATACAGCTAGAAACGTAGCGCCCGGCGGGTATCGTCGCGGGCGGTGGACACCCAAAGATAAGGAACGATCACAGGATCATAGCTCCAGTGAGATCCCTGAAGAACCTGCCAGGTATTGTCGAACCTGCCCTCCAACGCAACTATGTAGCGACGGACGTGCTCGTCCTCCTCGCTGACACGGTGACGTACCATCTCCGCGGTGTCCGGAAGCCTCGGCACCGTCACTGGCCCACGCGACCGCCACCAAACAAGGATCGGGTCAACAACGGGCTGCCTCCTCACCAACCTACGTCCCTCAGAAGGTAGCACCTTCCAATACCAGCCCGGCGGAGCCCAGTCCCGAACATGGCCCTGATCAAGCAGGCCTCCACCGCCGAGTCGACGACGACGACGAGGATGCGGGATAGGCATCGTCGACGTCGATGCGGGAACTACTTCTATATATAGTTAAATAAAGTAGTTTTATTAATTAAATCAACTAGTTCAACTACTAAGCACTTACTGTAAATAAATAAAGTAGTACTTACTAAAAATAAACTACTTCTATATATAGTAAAATAAATTGGTTTATTAAATCAACTAGCTAGTTCAACTATATATGAAGCACTTACTATAAATAAAATAAAGTAATACTTACTAAAAATAAACTAGTTTAACTATAGTTCTATTATTTTATTATATTAAACACTTTCTCTTCTTATTTTTTCCTTTTTCCTCTATTCTAAATATGAACATATTCATAAATGACTTTGATCATGCACAATTATCCTATACATACACAATATGAACATATACATAAATTGAGAAAGAAAATTCTATGAACAAAAAAATCATTAAAATTCTATGAACAAAATTACAACAAAAAAATCATAAAAATTCTATGAACAGAAAAAAATCATAAAAAATTGACATATTCGATCTTTGCATACATACGAACATATAAACATGCATATTCAACAATAATATCACCAAAAAAATCTATTAACAGAAAAAAAATCTAACAAAATATGAACAAATTACACAATATGAAAAAATATCTATGAATTACACATCTAACAAAAAAAATCTATGAACTACAAAAAAATCTAACAAAAAATTTTGCTCACGGGATGGCCACGGCGTGAGGGGTGCGGCGAGGGCGACGGGCAGGGGACGGCGACGGCGACGGGGCGGCGCGGGACGGCGACGGCGTCGGGGCGGGGCGGCGACGACGCGAGGCGATGATGGTGCGGGGCGGCGACGGCGTCGGGGCGGCGCGGGACGGCGCGGGGCGACGACGACGACGGCGAGGCGGAGACGGGCAGCCTGGCGACGTCGGGTGCGGGGAAGAAGGAATTGAACCAAATTTTCACGAGTGCTGCTTATATAAGCAAAGCATTGCTCCCGATTCGTCAGACCAACCGGGATCAATGCCCCCTTTAGTCCCGGTTGGTGCCACCAAACGGAATCAAAGGTCACTTTTCAGCAGCCCAAAGGGCGGGAAGCGGCGGCCTTTGGTCCCGGTTAGTGGCACAACCCAGGACTAAAGAGGGTCATTGGTCCCGGTTGGTGCCACGAACCAGGACCAAAGGGTGGCATTGGTCCCGGTTCGTGCCACCAACTGGACCAATGGCCTTGCACAGCGGCGTGATGGTGGGAGTTTAGTCCCACCATGCTAGTTGAGAGCGTCGACCACCTGCTTATAAGCACTGCTACCTCCTCTCTCTCGAACTCCTCTGAACTGCAGGCCTATGGGCCTAATCTGACACTGCTTTTCCTGTGGGCCTGTTGGGCCTTCTGCGGGCCTGAATCCTGGCCCATGGTAGGGTTTCTAGTCGTATTCAGGCCGTGGGGGCGCAGTAGGAGGCATTTTTTTGTTTTTTTGTTTTCTTTAGTTATTGTTACTATTTTTTATTTTTTTCCAGTTTTTTTGTTTTGTTTTCTGCATTATTTATTTTCTTTTGTTTTTTGCTTTATTTTTTTAATTCCTTTTGCTTTTAGTTTTAGAAAAATTATAAACTTTCTGTTAGTGCCATTAGTTTTCAAATTTCAAAACACTTTTTTTGTTTTTTTGTTTTCTTTCTTGCTTTATTTATTTTATTTTGTTTCTACTTACAACAAAATACTTATTGTTGCTATTTTTATTTTTTCCCAATTTTTTTGTTTTGTTTTCTGCATTATTTATTTTCTTTTGTTTTTTGCTTTATTTTTTAATTCTTTTTGCTTTTAGTTTTAGAAAAATTATAAACTTTCTGTTAGTGC